CCCCAAAACCCCAAAACCCCAAAACCCCATCCAGTCCTCAAATTTATTACAAAAATCCCTTCAAAAATGGTAAGCCCAATCTCCCTCTCATAACCTTAAAATCTACTCTCCTAAACTTTTAAAACCACTCTACAATCTCTATCACCTCAATTTCCTCCCAAAACCTCTAAAGTAAACTCTAAATTTCTGAAGCCCAGTCACTGCACTCAGTTAACTACATGAACAATACATGTTTTGAGTAGTGGCAATGGCACAGCTAGAATCAAGAGTTAAGAACTTTCTCTGTCTTGAGCAAAGCTGAGTACTCCAACTCCTCTTCCCATCCAAACCCTAAACTTTCCATGCCAAATCCCTTTCTGATTCGCCATACAAGAAATTTCTAACAAGGCATTTGGCTTAATTAGTCTATAACCTCATACAACTTCTGCATAACTTAAGTAGACCCAATCGGTCAAAATCCTCTATTGGAGCTATTTGACCTGCAAAATTAGTTGTCTAGAGCATTCGTGCTGCCCAATGCGACCCAGGCTTAGTCTTTTATGAGCAGTGATAAAGCTGGATTCAGATTTAGAGTACGGAATGCTTGTTAAGAAAGTTTAAAAGAGAAGGATTTTGGTAGATGAAATTTGGAAGGGGTTATGCTAAAGGAAGGAATAATGGAGTTTTTAGAGGAGATTAGTAGGATCTGTAGCCTGGATAGCTTGACTAAAGTTTTTACATTTTTATAGATCAGGATGAAGACAATGAGAGTGCCAGTTTTTGGGAGAGGTGGCATAACCAAATCTATTGGCAATCGTAAACCCTCAAATATTATTCAGGAAAGTCTTCAAGTAAACACTTTTAAGAAGAGGAAATGCTCTGCTAAGAAGCCTCATATTACCATCAAAAAGTCCAAGATAAAATTTGGAATTTCTCACATTGAAGAGTAAGTTGTTATCTTTAATATTATAGATCAATAATCCAAGAGCATCTAAATCAAATTCCTTTGCATTCACAAGAAGAACAAGTAGAGTTTGATAAAATAGAAGCAATGTTCAAAAACTACGACATCCTGCCTCGCAAGGAGATTCAGGAGAAGCTAGATCGGCTCTTAGCCCCATATAGCAAGTCTAAAAATATGCAAAGATGCATGAACTTTGATGATCTAGGTTGTCATAATAACAACTGGAAGAAAATATCCGATTTCATCTGCAAAGAAAAAGACGACTTCAGATCATCTCTAAGAACCCTCAACAGCAAGAAGTACAAAGAGTACGGACAAATTTTTCAAACAATGATGGAGCTTAAGCCTGAATGGAACTTCTTCAAAAGCTCTTTCAACAAACCAAGTCAGAACCGAATCAAGAAGAAGACAGTCCATAATCGAAGAAACGGAATTCTGAAGAGTGATTCTCAGAGATTTGAGCTTCAAAGCCAACAAAGCTTACTTAGAACTAGCCAAAAGAGGGGTCTTAGTATCCCAGAGCTCAAACATGAGGGAGTCAAAGAGCAGAAAGTTGAAGAAGCAGTTTTTGATGATAAGATTATAACAAAAGTTGTCTTAATCCTCAAAGGTATAGATCCATGATTCTTTATAATTATATAATAGTTCTCACCAAATTTTTAGATATCTATGAAAACAAGAGAAATGAATCACCTAAAACAGAATCCACCGATTCTGACTCTGAGAGTGATAAGGAGGACCAGGCTTACAATTATTTCACTCAATTTCTTGAGAAAAATATCAAAAAATCCAAAAGTAAGACTCCCTGAAGGAGTAAAATTTTAAGAACAGATGCCAGAAATTCCAGCTATAAAATTCGGAATTTTACTCCGGTTCAGGAAAACATCCAAACACAAGGCTTTTGTACTGCAAATCTTCAAAAGATGCCCAGAACTACAGTCTCTGATCTTTACCTAAGCAGGACCAGATCTTGCAAGAACTTTTGTGGGAATTTCAGAAATTGGTCTCCTGCAATGGATTTTAACCATCCAGAAATTTCAATATCTCCAAAGAGTTCTTCTGCAAGGCTATACCTCGATCATTTACTGCAAAACCATCGATCAAATGCTACCACAACAAAGAAGAGCTTACTGACAAACACATTTGGCATAAACCCTCAATGCTCAATCAAAAACAACCCAATGCAAGTGATTAACACTCCAAACGGCTTAACACAAAACAAGACTGGAAAACCACTATCCACTCATAGTTTATCCAAATCTGGACAGAACAGATACACCTTGACAAAAAGTAGGAAGAGTCTCCAAAATATTCTTAATAAGGTCAGAATTGGGAAACATGCAACAAGAAATGCTCATAATATTTGAAGGATAAACACATGAGATACTGCTTTTAAAGATCATCTATCATCAGCCAGAAGACTTAGTGACTCACATAAATGTAAGGCTTTACTCCTAATACTCTAGCAAGCGAAACTACTTCATCACTGATGTCAAAGCCTCAACTAAGAACTCCCGAAGTCTTAGAACGGCAATACAGGAACCACCACTTAAAATCGCCAAGGAAGAGAAAGAACCTGGCGTTGTTGAGTCCTCAGCGGAGAGTCCAGAAGAAACAGCGAAAATGTTTTGATGTGGGAGACCTCGCTTACATGAAGAACTTAACTACTCGAAATAAGGAATAAGCCAATACGAGTTCATATTAGTTTCAGCCACAAATACTATAAAAGGGGTTTTGGGGTTTTGGGGTTTTGGGG